ACTGGACATACAGGAGCCATAGGAAGGTGACCACTAAACTTTGCTTGACAAAATGGTCCTTCAGGTTCCTGCTTTGCGGAGGAAACAGCCAGACATTCTACAGGACACAGAAAAAAGTGACTGAGAAACTCTAGGCCTGTGGGCTGAAGATAGATGCCCCAACTTTACAAGAAAACTTTGGATTACTGTCTAGACTGCCAGGTGTCTCTGTCTACCCTGCAAGACTCCCGAAAGTTGCTTGCATCCTTCTCCCATTTCTCAGGTAGTATTATATCCTTCTGAGGTCTTTGATGTGGTTGAAGACTAGACAGTTGTAATTTCCTCAGTTATGATAAAAGATGGGTTAGATATGAAACCTTAGACTCACAAATATAAGATAGAATATTTTCTTTAATATTGTAACTGTAATTCTTGCTTATTAATTGTTTTGTTGTATGTAATTTTACTATGTTAAAGTTAAAACCTTCCTTTTTGAAAAAGAAGAAAAGGGGAAGTGCTGTGGATATCACTCTGTATAAATAAACATTGATTGGCTGGTAGCCAGACACGAAGTATAGGCAGGACTAACAGAGAGGAGAATTGAGGGAACAGGAAGGCAGAAGGGGGGCTGCCTGGAGCCTCCACCAGGACAAGGAAGATATAAAGTACCGGTAAGCCACGAGCTGCATGGCAAAGTAAAGATTAATAGAAATGGCCTAAATATAAGAGTAAGAGCTAGACAATGATAGGCCTGAGCTAATGGCCAAGCAGTTTAAATAATGTAAGAATCTGTGTGTTTATTTTATAAGTGAGCTCCAGGACTGGCGGGACTTAGTGGGACCTGGAGAAAAAAGCTCTTCAGCTACATTCAACTACATCAAAGACCCGAGAAGGATAATATTACCTAAGTAAACAGAAAGAGCATTGTGAGCAACTTCTAAAATTCTAGAATGGTAGAGACAGCTGCCTGCCTGGGCAGTCATCCAAAGTTGGAATATTCACACTGAATGTGAGTTTGAGCCATAGGTCTTGTGTACATCCTACTTCACAAATGAGTCTGTCAGATACCCTAAGTCTGTAGGGAAGATAATGCCCCAACATGCAGAGAAATCTCAGGTGACTGTCCAGGAAGCTGGCTGTTTCTGTCATAACGCATTTTTTGGATGTTACTTGTTTACACTTCCTGTTTTACTAGGTAATATTATTTCCTTCTCAGATCTCTGAAGGAGTTGAAGATTAGATAGCTATAGTTACAGTTTTCCTTGATAAGAAATTCAGAAAAGAAGCTCACTAAGATGTGTTAGGTGTGTAAGTTAGAAAGACATCATAAGATAGTTTTTTGTTGGTAATATAAATCAGGATAGAAAGTGAATTAGATACACTTTGAAATCACCAAAATAGGATAGATAATGGAATATTTTCTCTGAATTTGTCATCTGCAAATGAACTAGGCATGGTTGATGTATTTATTGCTTTTATATATTGTATACAGTTATTGTATTTATTGTATATAGTTTTTCTTATATTAGTTATAACTTTTTATTTTTATTAGACAAAAAATCAGCGAAATGTGGTGATATTTTATTTGTGCTGAAATGTGGTGACATTTTTGTGCTTTGATAAATAAAGCTTACTTGGAGATCAGAGGGAAAAGGCCAGCCATTATAAGTAAACAAAGAAGTCAGGCAGCAGTAGCACACACCCTTAATCCTATCACTTAGCAGGCAGGATCTCAGTGTGTTTTCAAGGCCACACTAGGGAACAGATCTAAGCATGGTGACACACGCCTTTAATCCCAGTACCAACCATAGAGGTCTGGAGTTCTGTACAGACAGAGAGTGACAGAGCAGTGTAGGCAGAGGAAGTGATGTAGCCGGGCTAAGAGAGCCAATGAAAGAACAGGACAGAAAAGGCATATATATGTGAGTATACAGGAAGAAGCTCTCTTTGGAAGCTGTGGAGTTGGTGAGATGAGGTTAGCTCATGGTTTGTACTATTGATCTGATCTTTCTCTCAGGCTTTAACCCAAATTTTCGGCTCCATGTTTTTTATTTATTAAGACAATTTAAAAATTCATCTACAGAGGAAAACCCTTAAATCTTAGATGTCTTTTCTTCTCACAGACTCAAATCCTTGTGTTAAGTAAGCACACATTTGCACGCAGAAGTAAAATGTCTGTTAATGGCTCATGTAAAACTCCATGGATCAGCAGGAAAAGGAAACTGTCACAAAGCCTAACGGCTGATGTTGGATCCCAGGACCTATATGGCAGAAAATAAACTGACAATCAACTTTTGCAAAGTGTCCTCTGACCTCCACATGTGCTTATGGCACATGCTCCCAACCCTGTCTTCCTACACAAGCAAAAAAATCATGGTAGAAAAAAGAAATCTCAAGATCATACCATGTTCAGATGCAACTGACACTCCAAATACCAGAGGGAAGTATCAGGATTTCATTCTTTCTTGGGTTCCTGATAAAGCTTAACTTTTAATCTGTTTTAATTCCAAACTATTCAAGTCTAGTCTAGAATTGAAGTTTTTATTTTTGTTTCCTATTGCGAATGCTTATACACCTGATATCAGTCTATGACAAGTTGACAGATTCATTAGTATAACCCATTTACTTTTGAATCAATTTCTTTCTTATTCCATATATATACACACATATATATATATATATATAGTTATATATGTATACATATATATGCACATGTTATACTTACTACACACATAAATAAAATGTATTAGCAATAGCTACCTACATTATTTTCCACTACATAAATACAGCAACACGCATTGCTTTCATGTATCATGTCATGATGTATGTAATACCTCACATCTCCTTCTTTAGGAGATGCTAATGTGCGTGAGATTTAATCATGTCTTCTTATAATCACACTGAAAGTAATTTACAGAATAAATTCTAACTCACACACCTTCACTTTGCAGAAGAAAGCATTTTATTTTACAAAGCAAATTCTAAGAAAAACTCAAAATCTTCAAATCAATATATTGAAGACAGTGTTCTCTAAGCTTGTGAGGTCTGGTTATGCCTGTGTTACCAAGGCACCCTGTAGTGCCTCAAGGGAATCAGGTCACTTGCTCCAATCACATCTTGGTTTTTCTGCAGTCAGATCTTAGCAGACTTCGAGAGAAGTTTGCTATAGGCAGCTTTGAGGGCGTGTCTAGTCTAGATTAAGGTTTCTCAGGATTGGGTGTACCTTAAAGTACTCCATGTGGACTCAGCATCATCTCAGAGAAACCCAGAAGCAGTGTGTGAATTCAGAAACATTTACCACTTGGTTGTCAGTGTGCATTGGGTTTAAAGTATGGTCCTATATATGGTTACAGGTTTGGTCAGAGCAAAAGAGTTTTCATTGTTGGAGTGTATACTTTGGTTAATATTTCAATTAGACCAGTGGTTCTCAACTTGTGTGTCACAACCTCTTTGTGGGCCACATATCAGATATCCTGCACATCAAATATTTACATTACAATTAATAACAGTAGCTAAATTACAGTTATGAGGTAGCAACAAAATAATTTTCTGGTTCAGGGTCACTACAACATAAGGAAATCTATTAAAGATTTAGCTTTAGGAAAGTTGAAAAATACTGAATTAGACAACAATCTGAGTGAAGTTAAACCATAGATATAATTACAAAAATGAACAACTACCTATTTCCACAGTAAAATATTTGCAACATTGGCATTTATGCTAACTTGGGAATGTTATATTTTATATTGCGAACAAAATTATATTCCTTTCAAACAGAAGGATATTCTATATGAAGGGCAAATACCAACAGTCACACATATTCAATATGCAAGGACCAATACTAGCACACATAAGTACCCATCTCATATCTATTACTGAGATCTTAGTTTGCACAAATATCCTGTTTACTCACAGTCCTGAATTTGGAGATCTTCTTCCTTGCAATAGACAGAAAGACAATAGATATTTTTCAGACAAGCAGATATGTATACACATATGTGCATTAAATAAAATCTGTGTCTGGAGTCATTATTTGGATACATGGTCAAGAGGAAAACATTGTAATATATAATATACAGCACTAAATTACCAATATTGTAATTAGAAATAATTATTAAATAAATATTCACTCATTAATTAGTAATTAAATTGATAATTCCCAAATTACTCAAATAAGAATTGTCCTACATTTTCAAAAAGTATGTAAGTGTATATTTTGTCTATTTATGCATAGTCATAAAGTTTTGCCTTCTATTGATATATTAACATGAAATAAATGTTATTTCTAGGTACCATAGATAATAATTTCATAAAAATGTTGCAGTTTCTAGAACTGCATGTCTATAAGATAGTCCTACTTTCTACTATTTCTCATAACATTTAAGTAATGTATCTTCAAAAGGCTTAACAATTTAATAATTTAATATTGTCTGTATTAAATCTGTATTCAATATATTACTTTTAAGCTATTTTTGGAAAATCCTTTCCTTTCATCAATTTGCTGATCTTTTTATTTTGACCTATTTTTATTATTTGACAAAATATTCAATAATAATCATAATCCTAGGCCTATTCTAAATGTTAATTCTTCTAAAACCTGATTTAATGACTGTTATTTTCTTACAAGTTGATGGAGCCAAACTGTCCAAATTTCTGAAGTGATTGCAAAGTATTTTGCTCTGCACAAATCTATAAATTTTAAAGCATATAATTTAATATAATAAAATTATCATTTATTTATGAACTTCCAAAATCATTGTATTAAGTATTAATTGAAAATTACATGTTTAAATAAGTGCTCAATAATTTCATGAAAGAAATGTTTTTCCTCACCACAATTCCAAGGTAATTCCACTTTTCCTGACACAGTTCAAAGTATTTAAATTTTTATTTTCTACATTGTAAACTAGAAGTTCAAAAGTATTACAGGATAAAAGATTAATATGGTCAGTAAGTTAATAATTTAGCTTGATATTCCATACTCTAATCTTTAAAATGTAAGTTTTATAAGCATAGAATTTTATAAACAATAGATAGTATAATAATATATTAATATTATTTATAATGTATCATATTATAGGAGTATTATGCTATATATTTGATATATAGTAATATTGTGATATATATATATATATATATATTTGATGTATTTAGTTACCAAAATCATATCACATTATTCATATTTAATAATCTATCAGAATAGGTAACCTAAATTAAGTGTCATATTTGCATTTGAAAAAATACCACTGGTAAATATATAAGTAGCTGATTAAGATGAAGCAGAAGGGGGCAGAAGAGGTTATAGAGGAAATTCCCATAAATATAATATAGAGTTGTATATATAAATATACATATATATATACACACATATATATGCGTATATATGTGTATATATGTATATATATGTGTGTGTATATATGTGTATATATATAACAAGAAATAATAAAGGGGACATTTAGCACAATATTTTGGTAGATTTTTATTTTTAGAAGCTGAATCTGTATGTGTGCATGTGCATGTTTGTATGAGTGTGTGTGTATGTGTGTGTGTGTGTGTGTGTGTGTGTGTGTATTTATATCCGCATGTGTCTATGTGTGAATAGGGTTAGGACAGGAAAATAATGGGAGACTCCGGGATATCTACTATAGGCAAAGCTTTTGTTTTTGTTAGTGACAGAGTTAAGTATTTTCAGTAGAAGTTACTGACAAAGGACTGACTGGTTTGCTGTAAAATACTATAGTATCTAAAATTAAGATGATGAAAACCTTCCTGGAAGTAGGGTGAAAATATATACACATAAAATTCATTTAAGGAGTGGGAAGGCTGGAACAGGACAGCATGGTGCATGCCAGCGATGCAGAAAATCCTGACACATACTCTTCCTATTTACCTGTGAGAACATGCATGTACCCCTCCATTTGGTTCCTTCTACTGCATATCCTCTGGGCAGAGATTACAGGTAAAGTGGTACTACCACAGTGCCTGGAGAGCATGGGCATGCTTCAGCGAGCTGGTAGCACAGCGCTGCACACCTATGTGCAGCCTGAGGAAGTTGCTCTGATGGTGCCTAGACAAGAAACAAAGCAATGAGTATAGCAGAATATGATTAGGGTTTTTTTTTCTTTTTGACAGTAATGTTTGGTTCTACCCTAGGTATCTGGGCTACCAAGTCTCTAGCTCCTGTCTATCCAGGCAGTGGAGGGCATGGACTCCCTCTCATGGAATGGACCTCAGGCTAAAACAAATATTGGTTGGTCATTCCAACAAGTACTGAGGCTTCATTGCCCACCACCACCCCCCTTATCTATATTTCAGATTAAAAAATATACCAATATTTTATATAAATTTTCATGTGGGAAAATAAAGAATAGAAGCATCAAAAAAATCAACTAGTGACAGACTAAAATTTCTTCTGTATTATCTCCAGTGTTTAAAAGATACCATGATAGGTATTTACATGGCATAATAAACTTCTTGAATTCATACAAAGGATGATATGTGCCTGCCTAAATGTCTGAGCATATGCAATATTTGTACTTCACTGGAAACAAATTTTAATTATTAATGTGTAATAAACTATTTAAAAGGAACTCTGTTAGATACTGCGATGGTCTGGGAAAAAAAAAAAAAAACAGTAGAAGTTTTGACTGTTCAGGGCTTCAGTTTTCCTCTCATAGTCATTAGTCTTCATCTTAAATTCTGAAACAATGTGAAAGTGTGGTCATTGGGTTATAATAATGCATTATCGCAAAACTGATCATGTATCCAAATTACATGTGAATTGATTCTTCTTAAAGCAGAATCTTTAAATGAAACACACACAAAAAATTAATCCCTAGCTAATAAATGCTTTTTTACTTCATTCTAGACAAAAAAGGAGGAATGTGGTGATATATTGTGTACCCTAATAAAATTTGCCTGAAGATCAGAGAATAGAACAAGCCACTGGATTAAACATAGAATCCAGGCAGTGGTGGCACACACCATCAATCCAAAAACCTGAGAGTCACATGCCTTTAATCTCAGTACTTGAGATATCACACCTTTAATCCCAGTATTTTGGAAGCACACAGGCCATTAATCCCAGAACTAGGAAGGAAGGAATGGCTGAATGGAGAAAGGTAAATAAGGCATGAGGAGACAGGAACTAAAGCCCTTTTCAGCTGGAGCTTTTCCAGGCTGAGGAATCCTAGAGGTAAGATGTGGCACTGGCCAAATATATCACCTCATAAAAATACTGGCTGTAACACCTCCAGATAGTAAATAACAACTAGGTAGTAATTAAATGCGTATTCA